GCTAGGACTCACGTCACGCGATTCTTCATCGGGCAAGATCTCTAGATCGCTGTCGAACTGAACGAGGAGGATCAGCTACCCACACGCTCCTCCTCCCTGCTGCTTCTCGCTTCCCTCCCCTCACCTCAGACGAGTCTCCTTCGTCTTCATCCCTCAGCCTCCTCGGAGCTGCTGGAGCACAAGCTGGGCCGATCTCAGGAGTCGAGCTGACGTCTGAAGTCCAGCTGCTGTCCATGGCAAGAGTGAAGTTTCTTGTAGATCCAATCGAAGGAGAGCCTCCACACCTCTCTTCCTCCTCCTCCTCCTCTTCCTCCTCTCGTCCCCTTCCCCTCTCCTCCTCTTCTTGTCCCCTTCCCCTCTCCTCCTCTTCTTGTCCCCTTCCCCTCTCCTCCTCTTCTTCTCCTCCCCTTCCTCGCACCTCCTCCTTATCCTTTCCTCTTCCCCTCTCTTTCTCCTCCTTCTCCCTCTTCGTCTCCTGCGGCCACTCATACGCCTCTGCCCGGTATTCAGGGGCCGGCACGGAGAGGTTGCCGGCTTGTCCTCTCCTCCTCCTCGCCCCCAGCAGCTCCGCCACCCTGGCGCCTGCCGCTTTCACTCGTGCGACCTGCAGAGGCTTCAGAGAGGGAGGGGGAGAGGAAGAGCAGCAGCAGCAGCAGCAGCAGCAGCAGCAGCAGCAGTCCACCACCTGCTCCACAAGTCGATCCTCCGCCTCCTGCATCATCGAGGACATGGACGCCTCCCACAGCTCGAGCTCTTCCTGCAGTCGGATGGCACCTGCTACAAGTCAGAACAGTCAATCATCTCAACCCTCAACCTACCTCCTGCTCCTGCTCCTGCTCCTGCTCCTGCTCCTGCTCCTTCTGCTCCTTCTGCTCGCTGCAAGAAGACCAGCGACAGGTAAGCACAAGTCTCTTCCAGGCGAGCTTCCAGCCTCTCGAAGCTGTCTTCCTCCTGCTCCTCCTCCTGCTAGACTTTCAGCTCAGTCTCCCTCCTTCCCTCCCTCACCTTTACGTCCCCCAAGAGCCCAGCAGGCAATTTTTCTCCTCTGCGAGCTATGGAATGAAGCAGCTCCCTCATGTTGTGATCGATAGCCTGTGAGAAACGATGATGGTGATGATGATGATGATGATGATGATGATGATGACGATGACGATGACGATGATGATGATGATGATGATGATGATGATGATGATGATGATGATGATGATGATGATGATATCTCGCTCTTTCTCTTCACCTGCAGCAGATGATCGCGGCGGTGCATTCGACTCTCAAGCAGCAGCAGGTCCACGTGTCGCCTCCCTGTCTCTTCTCCTTCGATCTCCACTAGTCTGCCCTGCTGCGACAGCAGCTCCAGGTACTTCGCGCACTCAAGCTCCAGCTGCACAAGAGTAAGCCCCAGCCCCTGCCCCTGCCAACCTCCTGCTCTCTTCCATACCTGTCCCACTCGCTTGCGTAGGTCAATCTCCTCTCGCTCTGCTCCCATCCGGACTCGCGAGACCTGAGGAGCTCGAGGCTTGTCCACCGGCTCCTCTTGCCCGCCTGTCGCGAGGGTGAGCGAGCAAGGAGCGAAGGCAAGAGGAGGAGCCATCGGAGGGCCAAGTAAGAGAAGGAGGAGGAAGAGCTCACGATTCAGCATGTCCTCCCAGAGCTTCAGCGAACCCTTGTTAGCGACGTTGTGCTGCCTGAGGGAGGAGGCGGAGGGTCAGAGCGGAGAGGAGGGGGTGAGCAGAACCTCGCTCGAGCTAGCTTGCTCTTGCACAGGGAGAGCTCGTCGGTAGTCGCCCTTGAGAAAACAAGCGAGTAAGGAGGAAGCGAGAGAAGGGATGGAGGAAGGTGGGGGAGCAGTGGAGGGAGGAGAAGGAGGGTGAGACATGCGTAGGTTAGTACCTGAGGACATCTTCTTTCCTAGCAAGGAAACTCTCAAGCTCGCTGACCTGTCAGTTGGACGTCTCAGGGTATTTTAGGGGCACTGACAAGAATACCTTGAGCTGAAGCTCAGCTACTACTCGCATCCTTTCCTCCTCTTCATGTCCTTGCTCCAACTTCTCCGTCGCTCTCTCCTCCTCTCTCGTCAGCACTTGAGCCATTCGGGTTGCGAGGGTCTCCACGAGTTGCAGCGAGTCGTCCCGAGCGCTTCGCTTCCTCCGCGAGCTTCGCTTTTTTCTGTCTTCCTGCTCGGCTTCATCTCCCTGGGTCTGATCGGGAGGAGGGAGGAAGGAGAAGGAGAGTGAGTTCCCCGGGTTACAAATAGTGAGCATGTCCATCTCACGCTTGTACTCCTGTACAGCCCTCAGCCTTCTCCCCCCTCCTCCCCCCTCTCGCCATCCACCTGTGACTGAGCTTGCAGCTCTTCGATTCTCTGTCTCAGAGTCTTCGCCTCTGCCTCCAGTCGCAGCACAACCTTGCTGGTGAACGCATGCTGCCTCTCCTCCGCCTCCACCTTCCTCCTGCCCCTGACTGTCAACCCCCAACCCCCACATCCCGCCGCTCCCCTTGCCTGGCTTCCGCTGTCTTCTCCTCCTCTTTCACAAGTCTCCTCTTCATCTCCTGCGCCTCCTCCAGCAGCTCCTGCCGCGACTAGGAGGTGGTGGATGAGCGAGGAAGCAAGAGAGAGCCAAGCAGGAGTGAGCTCACCCTCTCGATATTTGCTGCTCTTGTTTTCCACAGTTTTACCTTCTTCTTTCTCTTCTCAAGCTGATATCGAAATCACTCCTCCTCCTCCTCCTTCTCCTCCTCGTCCTCCTCCTCCTCGTCCTCGTCCTCGTCCTCGTCCTTCTCTCCTCCCTCCAACCCCCCTCCTCCCCTCCGCCTCCTCTTGACCTTTGCGCTCAGTCGATCCACAAGATAAGCTTCAGCAACCCTTGCAGGAGGAGAAGCTGGCGCAGGAGGAGGAGGAGGAAGGGGAGGATGCGGCAAGTCTCGCTGTTCCTGATCACTCACAGGTCTAGCAGGGAGCACACGCTGATGTACATTCTCCTGGTGGGAGTCACTCCAAGAGCCATGGCTTGATGGATTAGGAGGAGGAGGAGGAGGAGGAGGAGGAGCAGCAGCAGCAGAAAGAAATGAAACAGTAATCTTCTCACTTTGTTTCGGAGGGCTTCCTCCAGCTTTCCTATCTGCTCAAGTCGTCAGCCGCTTGTCTTCTCCTCCAGCTCCCTTCGCCTCCTCACCCGGTCGAGCAGCAACGCTCGATCTGCTGTGCTGTCATGGCTCGACTGAACCTGACTAGGTCTGAGCACAAGAGAACAAGCTGCAAGCTCGCCTCACCTGACGACTCAAGTCCTCTAGCTCGCGTGCTTGCACTCGGATCGTTTCTTCCGCCTGCCTCCCCTCAATCTTCGCTCTCCCTCTCTTCCTCTTAATCCCCGACGGGAAAGCAAACCCCCCCCTTCCCTGTTGTCCTCCTCCTTTTTAAACCCCTCCCCCCCCCCCCCCCCACTCGCCCTTCCCCTCCTCCCTCTTCGCACTCTCGCGCACACCCGCTTGTTCAGCTCTTGCGACCTTCGCAGCTTCTCTTCAGCCTCCTCCTTCTGCCGTTGCATCTGCCCGCCCGTCATTTCAGAGACCGCCCAGCTCGACGTCACCTCTTTCGCGTTTGATCGCGCCACGTGAAGTTCTCCCTCGAGAGCTCCGTTCCTCTCCTGCAGGACCTTTCAGCAGAGGAGGAGAGGAGAGGAGAGGAAGCAAGAGCCTGCAAGTGGCACATCTTGAGCATGAAGGTCTTGCGGCGAGCATGCGGCTGTTGCTCATCGTCAGCTGGACCACACAGCAGGGAATGAGTAACCTCGCTCGGCAGCTTCCCAAGCTCGAGTTCAGCTCGCAGCTGGAACACTTCCTCGTGCAGCTTCTGTACCTTGAGCCATTCACTCTCGATCGCCTGCGGCTCAGAAGTCACGCAGGCCCTCCCCTCCCCTCCTCCACCCGAAGTCTGTCTCCATCCTCTGGGAGCCTCGCGACCCTGCTCGCACGTCAGGACTGCAAGACAACCGGAACTGCCTCACTTGCTCTTGACGGGGGTAGCTGACAGCGAGCTGGGCTCGCTCAGGGCAGCCTCTTCGAGCGCTTCCTCGAGCTAAAGGAGAAGGACAGGCGTGAGGGAGAGAGGGTCGAGAGAGAAATGATGAACAAGCTAAGGGCAAGGAGAAGAGATGAGGGAGGAGGGAGGGAGGGAGACCTGAGAGACTCTGAGCTTGAGGTTCAAGTTGGTCGCTTCAAGTCTCTCCACCTCTAGCTCCAGCTCTGTCGTCGTCCTCTCCCGCCTCTTCCCTTCCTCCGCCATCTCACGCCATCCCCTTCCCGCGGGCCAGCCCCTCCATGTCTAGGCGGGCCAGCCCCTCCATGTCTAGGCGGGCTCACCACAGTGGGCTCACCAGCGCCCTCACTGAGGCTCTCCGATGATGTGACAGACTCCGGGTACAAATATTTACTAAATATTTGTACCCGGAGTTAACCAGTAGTTAAAAGCCCCGGGCCGCTCCCTCATGTGCGACGCCCGGCCGTCACGGTTTGAACAAGCAAGCCCCCGGGCAGCCGTATAATGTCCGATAGAGAGGTGATCACGAATAAGCCTCGGCCCGGAACCGTCCGATCCGATCCGGCGGTCTTGCAGTCCACCATCTTCGCTCATTTTGATGGAATACAAGTTTGTTAGACTTGTACTAGTCCAAAGTCACGCAGATATCACATCGACCTTAGTTGTAACAAGACAGTTTATGCTCAAGACCGAATTTAATGCACACAAAACCAGAATTGAGGAGCACATGAGAGATAGACTGTATGCTAGGATGTGAAACCCAAGCATCCAGACACTGGGAGGATTCGGCATCACCTGTCACCCCTTTCTAGTCATCCTGGCCAAATGCCGGATCTTCTTATTCCTGCCCTGTCAGCCATTCGTCGAGGAGGCAGATTTATTCCCCTCTCCAAGGGAGCTGATAAACCTGGTCTCCGGCCAATTGTCATCGGTTCTGCACACCGTCGACTCGCGACGAAGCTTGCTTTGGCAGCGATTCGCTCATTTCTTGACCAGCACTTCCTCTCGTCTCACCCTCGAGCGATTCAGTTCGGACTCGATCGAGACGGCTGTCTGAAGTTCTCGCAAACCGCGTCAGCGCTCCTGCCCCTTCACGCTTGCGGTGATGATGAGGATGTTGCCAACCCCACAGTGCTGGTGAGTTTGGATGCAAAGAACGCCTTCAACTCCCTACGGTCGCGACTACTTTGATGGGAGCATCACTGAAGGCGCTCGCTTGCCCTCTTGCGAGCATCTCCGTTTGTTCGCCTCCTACCTCTCCAGCTACTATGGAGACTCTGCTGACCTTCGACTCTTTCACAAAAGTCAGTCAGCCTCCGTTCAGTGTACCTCGGGCGTCTGTCAGGGCGATGTCCCCTCCAGCGTATTTTTCTGCCACAGTATCCACCCCCTGCTCCTCCATATCGCAGAGCTTTTTCCCTCTGTTCGAGTCTTGGCCTATGCTGACAACGTCGTGCTTGTCGGTCCACTCGAGGATGCCGTTGCAGCTACGTCCGCTATGAAGAAGTACATGTTGGCTGATCTGAAGCTAGAGATTCAACCTCGCGAGTCGAAAGTTTACATCCCCTCCTGGCATCAACACCCTGATCTCTCGCAGCTGAAGAAGAGCCTTAAGCGCCGTCTCAAGACTCAACTTCTTCACTTCGAGGTTGTCACTGGCGGGATTACACTTGGCGGCCTGCCTATCGGCACGGATGGATTTCATGCTAGTCAGCTCCGAGCGAAGGTTTCTACCCTCAACGAAGAGCTCTCGAAGCTCGGGCTCGTCCAGCATGGCTTCATGTTCAAGACGCTGGTGAGGGCGAGCCATCTCCAGAAGCTGCGCTTCTTCCTCCAGGGGTCATCTCCGTTTCTCCCGCGGGTCCAATCACAGATTCGTCGCTTTGACCTCTCTGTCCACCTGGCGCTTGAGAAATACCACCGCTGGCCTTCCTCGCAGTACCTCGCCGCGCATCCCGACCTGCTAGAGTTTGCGAGGTTCAAGCGGGAGCTTCCGCATAGTCGGGGAGGGGACGAGTTCACGCCCTCTGAGGGTCTACACCCCGCTGTTTACTATTCGCTTGACCAGCCGATGTCCCGGACCTTGCCCTCTCCTCATAGCCTGGACGTTCACTGCTCGAGATCTCTCCGTGCCCAGAAGCATCCTCTGGCGACCTTCTTCGTTGAGGCGCACGACTTCGTTCATAATGCTGGAGCGATCCTCTACCGTCGTGTGAAGGCTCCTGCACCGGCTGCAGATGGCGCGGCGATCCCACCTGCCCCGGCTGCTGTGCCTGATGACTCGGACGCAGGACGCCCCCCGGCATCTGTGTCCGTCCGCTGCCCCAGGCGGACCCCCGGGCAGCGCCGGCTCCTTGTCGGCGGCTGCCCTTTCTCCGTCCGCGGCCGCCCGCTTTGTGGCGGCAGCGGACGTCTCGACCGACAGTGGTCAGTCGGCTGCCTCCGGGTATCGCGTCTAAGGGATGTTATTCCTCCTGCGTGCTCCTGCTGCTTGTTGCTGGATTGCCTGACCCTTCGGCTGCTTGTCTGCGCGGCTTCGCGCTTGGGCTGGCGGTGCCGCGTCTGGGTGCCAGCAGTGCTGGTTCTTTTCGGGCTTGTGTTTTGTGTGTGTTTGTGCAGCTTCTCGCTGTGCGCTGTGTGCCTGGAGGTTTTGCTTGTTCCTGCTTTGTTTTGCTTGAGGCACTTTTTACCCTCTGCCAGTAAATCCACTATCGCGAGATGTATAGGATTTACTGGCAGAAGATAAAAAGTGCCTCAAGCAAAACAAAGCAGGAACAAGCTGAACCGGGATACCAGATGAAGCGGAGGGTGTCAGGATGCAGGGTACCGTCCGTCGAGATGGCAAGAGGGATGAACGCTCGAGGAGGAGTAGTCATAGCATATGCAGCGCGATGTTTGCGAATCTTCTCAGACGCTGCAACATGGAGGGCGTCGAGGTTGACCTCCCCCCACTTGGTCAGGTCGGCAGAGCTACCAATGTAAGGGTGGACCAACGTCACGTCCGCCATCAAGCTTCATGTACAAGAGCTGAGGTCTTGGCTCGCAAACGCGCCGCCACCTATCAGCGCCCTTGCGGGCGCAAGCACTTCTCGAGCCAGAGGACAGCTCCTCCTCGGACTTTGTCGAGTCGCCCGAGGGGTACTGATGGATTTACTGGCAGAAGGTAAAAAGTGCCTCAAGCAAACAAAGCAGGAACAAGCTAAACCTCCAGGCACACAGCACACAGCGAGAGGAGGAAAACACGTCGAGTGGCGCCGACGATCGGCGCGGAGCTGGCGAAGCGTCTCCGTCCCTCACTGTGACGTCGGGTGCCTCCGGAGAGCTCGACACCACTGGGGTGCTTGCTGCTGGTCCGAGCTCGCCTGCTTCCTCCCCGGCATCGGTCGGGTCACGCCGGTCCTTGGGCATTGCTGCGGCGCCGGTCGCCGCCGTCACGGGCGGCTACCGCTGACTCGGCTACCGCTGACTACCGTGTTCCTGTGTCCAGCCTCCCTCCGTCCGCTGCCCCAGGCGGACCCCCGGGCAGCGCCGGCTCCTTGTCGGCGGCTGCCCTTTCTCCGTCCGCGGCCGCCCGCTTTGTGGCGGCAGCGGACGTCTCGACTGACAGTGGTCAGTCGGCTGCCTCCGGGTATCGCGTCTAAGGGATTTTATTCCTCCTGCGTGCTCCTGCTGCTTGTTGCTGGATTGCCTGACCCTTCGGCTGCTTGTCTGCGCGGCTTCGCGCTTGCTGGTTCTTTTCGGGCTTGTGTTTTGTGTGTGATTGTGCAGCTTCTCGCTGTGCGCAGGTATAGGATTTACCGCTGTGTGCCTGGAGGTTTTGCTTGTTCCTGCTTTGTTTTGCTTGAGGCACTTTTTACCTTCTGCCAGTAAATTCATTTGCTTCTTCCTCCTGCATGCTCCTGCTGCTTGTTGCCGCCAGTGCTTGATTGCCTGACCCTTCGCCAGACCTGCAAACGCCGATCCTCCAAGCTTCCCACGGCGCATGACAACCTTACTCATACGATTCGGTCGATGCTGAACGAAGCTGGTCTTCAGAGCGTCATCGATACAGTGGAGATATAGGATTTACTGGCAGAAGAGAAAAAGTGCCTCAAGCAAAACAAAGCAGGAACAAGCTGAACCGTTGGGGGATCCTCGTTCTCGACGGCAGGTACCCTCCCATCCTCATGGCCGCAAGATGAAGGGCGATATCCACATCCCTGGAATCCGCGATCGAGGGTTTGAGCAGTACGAGGGCTTGATGGCGGACGTGACGTTGGTCCACCCTTACATTGGTAGCTCTGCCAACCTGACCAGCTTGTGTTTGTGCAGCTTCTCGCTGTGGACTGTGTACCTGCCGGTTCAGCTTGTTCCTGCTTTGTTTTGCTTGAGGCACATTTTACCTTCTGCCACAAGATGTTCCTGCTTTGTTTTGCTTGAGGCACTTTTTACCTTCTGCCAGTAAATCCTATCATGACCAAGTGGGGGGAGGTCAACCTCGACGCCCTCCATGTTGCAGCGTCTGAGAAGATTCGCAAACATCGCGCTGCATATGCTATGACTACTCCTCCTCGAGCGTTCATCCCTCTTGCATCTCGACGGACGGTACCCTGCATCCTGACACCCTCCGCTTCATCTGGTATCTCGCGGACATCATTGCTCAGCGCTCGATGCCTCCTATACCCTCTTGAGGATGCGGCGTTTGGTCGGCACTTCGTGCCTGATGACGGACCTGCTGCTGAGGTCCTGGCTCGCAAACGCGCCGCCACCTATCAGCGCCTCACTATGCAGCTGACGCTGGAGGCGCTCTTGTCTGGTGCGAGGCGCATGACGCCCTTGCGCCAGTAAATCCATTGGCTTGCGGGCGCAAGCACTTCTCGAGCCAGAGGACAGCTCCTCCTCGGACTTTGTCGAGTCGCCCGAGGGGGAGTCTTCGCCGGAGGTCTCCGACTCCGATGGGGGAAACACGTCGAGTGGCGCCGACGATCGGCGCGGAGCTGGCGAAGCGTCTCCGTCCCTCACTGTGACGTCGGGAATAGTATAGGATTTACTGGCAGAAGGTAAAATGTGCCTCAAGCAAAACAAAGCAGGAACAAGCTGAACCGGCAGGCACACAGTCCACAGCGAGAAGCTGCACAAACACACACAAAACACAAGCCCGAAAAGAACCAGCACTGCTGGCACCCAGACGCGGCACCGCCAGCCCAAGCGCGAAGCCGCGCAGACAAGCAGCCGAAGGGTCAAGCAATCAAGCAACAAGCAGCAGGAGCATGCAGGAGGAATAAAATCCCTTAGACGCGATACCCGGAGGCAGCCGACTGACCACTGTCAGTCGAGACGTCCGCTACACAAGCCCGAAAAGAACCAGCACTGCTGGCAACCAGACGCGGCATCGCCAGCCCAAGCGCGAAGCCGCGCAGAGCTGTCGGATTTACTGGCAGAAGGTAAAATGTGCCTCAAGCAACTAGCAAAACAAAGCAGGAACAAGCTAAACCTCCTGGGACACAGCGCACAGCGAGAAGCTGCACAAACACACACAAAACACAAGCCCGAAAAGAACCAGCACTGCTGGCACCCAGACGCGGCATCGCCAGCCCAAGCGCGAAGCCGCGCAGACAAGCAGCAGAAACCATCTAGCAGCCTAAGGGTCAAGCAATCAAGCAACAAGCAGCAGGAGCATGCAGGAGGAATAAAATCCCTTAGACGCGATACCCGGAGGCAGCCGACTGACCACTGGCGGAGACCTCCGGCGAAGACTCCTCCTCGGGCGACTGCGCCCGCAAGGGCGTCATGCGCCTCGCACCAGACAGGAGCGCCTCCAGCGTCAGCTGCATAGTGAGGCGCTGATAGGTGGCGGCGCGTTTGCGAGCCAAGACCTCAGCTCTTGTACATGAAGCCATGTTGGACGAGCCCGAGCTTCGAGAGCTCTTCGTTGAGGGTGGAGACCTTCGCTCGGAGCTGACTAGCATGAAATCCATCCGTGCCGATGTAGTAGTGGATTTACTGGCAGAAGGTAAAAAGTGCCTCAAGCAAAATAAAGCAGGAACAAGCTAAACCTCCAGGCACACAGCACACAGCCGATAGGCAGGCCTCCAAGCTTGAAGTGTAATCCCGCCAGTGACGACCTCGAAGTGAAGAAGTTGAGTGTAAACTTTCGACTTACGAGGTTGAATCGCAAGCTGCAGATCGGCAATTGCAGCGTCGGAGAAGAGCGGCTCGCAACCGCGCGGCCACCTACCAGCGCCTCACCATGCAGCTGACGCTGGAGGCGCTCCTGTCGGGTGCGAGGCCGCGCTCGCCTGCTAGCTTCCCCCCGGGCCAACGGCGGTCTCGGTCTCGGCTGCCGCTCGGGTATCGTGTATGAGGGCGTTCACGTCCCCTGCTGTGCAGGTATCACGGTGCTCGTTGCTTATCCCTCTCTGCTCGGAGAGTCTACGTGGCTTGCTTACTTTCCGTCTTATGTTTGAGCCGCATTTGTTGCTGTGTTCAGTATACCGCGTTTGTTGCTGTGTGCTCTCTGCCTGCCGGTTTAGCTTGTTGCTGCCTTCTTCTGCTTGAGGTACTTTTTACCTTATGCGAGTAAAACTCCATTGGCAACAAAAGCGGTGCAAACACACAAAACATTAGACGGATAATAACCAGCACTGCTGGCAACCAGTCCCTACACTGCCAGCTCACGCGAGAAGCCACGTAGCCAAGCAGGGGGGTAAAGCAACAAGGGTCTTTTCTATTACCAACACCTTATAGCTCAGTCTGAGACTAGTCGACACCCAGACTTTCAAGATAATCCACAACATCTGAGGTACCAGCTAAAGCAGCGCATGTCTTGCCGTCATTGGTCTTCTCCCTCAGCACCCCCTCGCCGCATCTCTCCACAACGTACCGCACTACCTCCAAGTGGCCCCCCTCACTCGCCGCATGCGCACATGTCTTGCCGTCATCGGTCTGGCCCCTCAGCAGCCCCTCCCCACATGTCTCCACAACGTACCGCACTACCTCCAAGTGCCCTCCGAAACTTGCCAAGTGCGCGCATGTCCATCCGTCATTGTCCTTCGCCCTCAGCTGCTCCTCCCCGCATCTCTCAGCTACGTACCGCACCACCTCCAAGTCGCCTCTCTCACTCGCCCAGTGTAGGCAGGTCTTGCTGTACTTGTCCTGCTCGCTCAGAAGCCCCTCCCCGCAGGTTTCGGCGACGTATCGCAGCACCTCCAGCTGTCCTCCCACACTCGCCAAGTGCGCGCATGTCCAGTCATGCTTTCCCTTCTCGCTCAGAAGCTCCTCCCCACATTTCTCCACAACGTACCGAAGTACCTCGAGCTGTCCTACCTGACTTGCCGCATGCGCACATGTCCAGCCGTCGTTGGTCTTCTCCTTCAGCATCCCGTCGCCGCATCTCTCCACAAGGAACTGCAGTACCTTCAAGTGTCCTTTCATGCTGGCCCAGTGAGCACATGTCTTTCCATCATTATCTCGCTTCCTCAGCTGCTCCTCCCCGCATCTCTCCCCAAGGTATCGAACTACCTCCAAGTGCCCTCGCTCACTCGCCGCATGCACACATGTCCAGCCGACGTTGTTGGCTGTCGCCACCAAGTTTCTCAGTTCCTCTATCCCACATTGTTCCTCAACGGCCTTCAGCACCTGCACTTGTCCGTACTCTGCAGCCCAGTACACAAAGGTCCTCCCTCCCCGATCCTTCCCCCTTACCTCTGCTCCTGCCTCGCTCAGCTCCCTCACGCTACCTAAGCTTCCCAGCATCCCCGCTACGTGCAGCCCTGACCTCCCGTCCTTCATCCGCTCGTCTAAGTCGCCCCCGGCCGAGCAGCGGGATAAGCTCGCCCTGCCCTCGTACCACCGCCGTGACTGTTGGCGGCTCCCCCACCTCGTCCGACCTTGAGATCGACAGGCCGTACATCCCGCACAGTCTCTTGCTCTGCTCGGCCTTGACCTCAGCATCTGCTGTAGTCAGCTGCATCATCACCTGATGCGTCAGAAGCGCCGTCGTTCTCCAGTACACTGACTGCATCGGCTCTTGAACGAAAGCCTCACATTCCCAGTCTCCCTGAGTGTCTTCGATCCAGTGCCTCAGCTTGTTCATCGCCATCTCCTTCACTCGGTTCGACAGCTCGATCGCCTCCTTGTACCTCGACTCCTCGTTGTACCACTCCGCCTCCCTCCTCCTGCTCGCCTCCACAAGACCCCAGCACTCCTCCACGATAGACCTGACCAGATTCTGATGGTGCTTGAAATGAGAGTCATATATTGCAGATCTCAGTCGCTCCTGGATCCTCCCCTCCCAACCCCTCACGTCTCGCTCTACCTCTCTCGCGATGTTCTCCATCAGCCCTACGTACAGCTGCTTCCTCTTCCCCACAAAGTCCTCGATCGTCAAGCTCATTGTGTTCGCGTTGATCTTCAGCTCCAGCACCTTCACCCGCCTCCCCTCTACCTCCCTGTACCGCGGCGTCTTCACCACCTCCAAGTACGACAGCGGCGGATACAACATCTCCCCCTCCCCCGGATACTGAGACACAAACGTCAAGCTCGCCCCCCGGTCGATCGCCCCGCAGCTGATCTCGAACACGATCGACTCTCCCTCCTCCCCGGCGTACTGGATCGCCGTCCCGACGTGTGTCGTTGTGCTCAGCAGCCCGTACTCGACTCCTCCGGACACCCCGAGCTCGTTCTCGCTTAAGAAGCTCTCCGGCAGCCTCATCCCCTTGAGCCCCCTCCACACCCTCCGGTCCTCCGGCAAAGGCGTGTGACGAGACAGCTTCACGACGCCGCTGACGATGCAGTGGATGGTGGTTGTGAACTTGTTGGGGATCTTCTTGGGGTCTCGGAGGTGCTCTTTGGGAGCCCGAAGTATAGAATTGTACTTTTGATACATCGGCCCTGTCAAACCAAGCCTCTGGTCACATACAACATATCCCCACTTGCTTCTCTCGCCCTACACGGCCCTTCACGCTCCCACTCTCCCTTACCTGTGTACAGCTGCAGCGCGATCAGCTCTGCCTCCAGTAGCTTCGCCTTCATCGCCATCTCGTGCTCCTTCAGCTCTTCCATCCCTCGGATGATCCTCGTTCCGTCCGACAGCCTCCGCCTCCTCTCGGGGTCGCTGACATTGAGCCACTCCTCCTTCGAGGTCGTCGTGATCCCGTAGTTGCTCGTCACAAACGCCTCCTCCGCGTCCTCGCCCCGGCAGTGCTCCTCCTCTATCGCCTTCATCAAGTCCGCCTGAGGAAGCCCGATCCGATCCATCAGACCTCCGTAGTACTCCTCGATCTTCCCGTACACTGCCTCTCGCGTCTCGTTCATAGCGAACTTGCTGTTGGGCCGCGAGGTCGGACAGTCTCCGGCCTCCCGTCCTGGAGCCTTCTCCGTCCTCATCAGCGCTGCCGCCAGTCTCTCTGCTATGGTCGTCTGGCATAGTCCCAATATCGCCGCCTCCGTCATCCCCTGTAGCCCCGCAAGAGGATTCTCTGCGTTCCCACCTGGAATGCACTTCGCCAGCTCACGTAGGATGTCGATGTCGTCGAGGCTGCTGGCCTTGAGAGCGAGCTCCCACTCTCTTGTGACTTTGACCTCCAGGTCCTCGTACTGTTCAGGCATTGGCTGAGACAAGACGTCGACCCCGAGAGACATGAAAAGGTCTCTACCATGTTGTTTGGATCGCTGGGGGTCCTGGGAGCTGTGGAAGTACTCTCGGAGGGTAGATCGAATTCCATCGGAGAGATTCCATGACGTGATAACATCTGTTGTAGGTTGTCGTCTGTCTGATCCCTGAGGCATAGGGCTTGAAGTGATCGGGTCCTGAACGGTCGCCTGCTTGAGTTCCGTTTGAAGGTTTGGATGGCCTTCTAACAAACTCTTCAGCTTTCCTTCCAGCTCTGAGATCTTGCAAGTCGCCTGCTCCAAGCTCTGCTTGAGAGACGAGTAGGAGCCATCGCCAGTATCAACTGGCTCCACCTTGGATGAGAACCATCGGAGACAGCTCATTCTGCTATCGTTCTGAAGACTTGTAAGGGGATAAATCGGCAATGCTGGGTATAACAGCTAGTTGTGCACGACCTCAGTACTTTGTATACCGATACCTCAGTACCGAGGTATATTCCATGTTTGTTCCCAGCCTATCTGTTCTCTTGGTCCTGGCTGTAGTAGTTGCGGTGCGCGAACCCTGTAGCATGTGTCAGTGCGCCGCTCTTCCAAAGATTGTTTGAGTATGATTCGGTCGCTTCTATTCTCCTTCAAACATCGTCAACCTGTTGTGACCCTGTCATCCTATCAATCGTTCTCTATCTTCTCTCCTCTTGACGCCTCTCCTTCCTACCTCTTTTGTTCACCCAACGAATTGTGGCCCTGTCGAATAGTTGCCCTATCCTGCTACTATCACCTTGAGCCCTCAATGCTTCTGTCTTTTCTGCCCCTTTCTTTGCGCTCTTGGTCCGCTAGTGCGACATGTGCTCTTGCTTTCATCTTTCCTCTACTTCCAAAAACTTCGCCGGCTTCTCTCGTTTGATCAAGAAGAGGATCAACGTTTGATCAAGAACGTTTGATCAAGAAGAGGAAAGGTTCTATTCTGCTCGGGCTTATCTTGTGCTGTCATCGTCTACATCATCTACCCTCATGCATTTCCTGTCTCCTTCCCACAAAAGAGAATGTAACAAGGAGCGAAGGCAGCTTGGAGAAGGAGGTAGCAAAAGTCAAGATACAAACAACAAAAACATCTCGAATGATATAAAGCAAAACGAGTTCCAGCAGGAAGGAAGGAGCAAGCGAGAAATTCGAGAGCGTCGTGAGGCTGAATATTGATAGAGAAGGGCAGGAGAGGAAGAGGACATAGATAATTTAAGATTGAGACAAACGAACATGCAAGGAGAACACAAACGAGTGTTGTGGGAGCAAAGCAAGCATAGCGAACATAATAGAGAAATGTATAGGAAGTGAAAAGTGAAGTAATCACCGTCAGGAATACGGTAGCAGATAAACAAAACATGAGAAGACATCAAGAAAGCAAAGAAAAGGTACAAAAAGGCAATGCAACAACAGAAAGGGGACATGGAATAGGGAAGTGAGTCAAGCATGATAAGGGACATAGGGAGGGAGAATGTATATACAGACAAACAATCAGAAATAAGGGGAATCAAATCATTGAGTACAAACAACAACAGCTCTATATGTTACTCTCTTTGTCAGCTCGTTCAACATATACTCTTGCTTCCTCTACTTAAAATCATTCGCCTTCTTCTCTCTGCTGATCAGCCATGGCTATCCGATCATCATAGTAAATATTTGAGTAATTGTTTTAGTCATTTCTATGACGGCTCCGGTCATCAGCAATGAAGGTCGCGATGTTGACTAAAAGTAGAAGCGCCTCCTGCCCCCTTCCCTCCCCCTCCCCCTCCTCCTCCTCCTCCACCTCCTCCTCCATCGTTGCAGCTGCAACCTTGTGACTCTATTTCTACCAGCTCCCTGCTCTCCATGCTCTGCCCGCTCTGCCCGCTCTGCCCGCTCTCCCTGCTCTGCCCGCTCTGCCCGCTCTGCCTGCTCTCCGTGCTTCCTTGTGCTCCACGTGTAGTAAGACTCCTTCAACTCCCCACTACCCCTTCCACTTCCAAGGGATACCCCACGCCTTCATGTCACATGCCTTTGGGTCTGTGTTGTTGTTTGACGCCATTTCCCATGCAGTCATGACGCTTTCTTGTCCAAGACTGAGTTACTTGCAGGTTCTTCAGAGCATCACGGCATAGCAACGACGTTTGTTTCCAGCATCTTCCCGCCGCTTCGCGTTCGGACCAGCTTTCTCATCAGCACCACCTTGTGTTGCGCAGCTGCCTTCAGTCCCTGGTCAGCGCAAGCGCAGTCAGCTTTGAGATCGTCAAAGACCTGTTCAGCTGAAGCAGCCATGTCGGGCGCCTCGTCTCGCCTTCCCGTGTTTTTTGTCAACCATGGCGGAGGACCGTTCCCAGTGCTGGGAGAAGAAGGTCACGCCTCCCTGACCAACTCGCTGAGAAGCTTCGGCAAGAAGTTTGACCCCGTCAAGCGGGGGGTCAAAGCCATCCTTGTCATCTCTGCTCACTACGAAGCTTCCGTTCCCACCTTGACAAGTGCCAAGAGCCCGAGCTTGCTCTACGACTACTACGGTTTCCCTCCTGAGTCGTATGAGATCAAGTACCCTTGTCCTGGTGCTCCAGACGTGGCGAAGAGGATCGAAGCTCTGCTGAAAGAGGCAGGGATCTCAGTCGCTTTTGACGAGAAGCGCGGCCTCGACCATGGCGTCTTCATCCCGCTCAAGCTCATGCTCCCCTCCGCCGAATTCCCTTGCCTGCAGATCTCTTTGCACAAGAGCCTGGACCCGGCTTATCACCTCAAGCTGGGGAAGGCCATGGCGCGGTTGCGCGAGGAAGGTGTGCTGATCATCGGGAGTGGGATGACAACCCACAACATGCAGGGGCTCATGTCGCAAGACATGAAGAGAGATCAGAACCTCGCGTTCGATCGTTGGCTCATCGAGTCCTGCAAGGCTGTGGAGAAGGAAAGAGAGACTCGATTCATTCAATGGAAGACAGCTCCAGGAGCTCTCTACAATCATCCTAGGGAGGAGCACCTCGTTCCATTGTTCGTCTGTGCGGGAGCTGCAGAAAGGTAACTCCTTGCTCGCTCTCTTGCTCGCCCTCTTGCTTCAAGGCTTTTCTCAAGCTCATGCCTACTTGTCTGCCTGCCAGTCTGCGGCAGTGCCTGCTGTCTGTGTCACTATCTTACTCTCTTCTGCAGTGACGCAGGTCAAATTTTGTTCGCCGATGACATGTGGAGCGCGCGAGTGACTTCCTTTCAGTTTGGCGAGTAGCTCAAGCCGCTTGTGCTACAGTTTGTCGTCATAATGAATCCTGGCATGTGCATCATGATGTTTCTCCTTCGCCGCTTCCTCTTCCTCCTGTTCCCTCCGGTCTGACCCGGGCCGAGCGCGGCTCCTCTGGGTTACCGCACTGCAGCGCTCAGTGACTGCCAGCGGCTCAGTGAGCCGGGCCCGGACTGAGTCACTCGGCCCGGTCACCGTCGGAACTTTTAGGGCCGCAATAGTGCCAATACTGTAACGGTTCAATAACTGCTCTAACGGTTCAATAACTGCTCTACCCGCCCAATCAAAATCGGTTTGACAAGGCGTCATGGAGGAGGAGGAGAAGGAGATGATGGGGCGAGTACGGAAGATGCCGCATGTGAGAGGAGGCGAAGCTGAGCAAGCGACCTTACTGATGTCTTGCTGGTAGGAGAGAGAAGAGTTCTCAGGCCTGCTGGCTGAGAGTGCCATCAGGAAGGAAATGAAGGCGTTGCTGCAGCAAGGTCCATTGAAACGGCAGGGCAGCCCCAAGCAAATCGAGCTGAAGAGCGGGGCTATGATAGACAGCAGGAAGCAGGCAGAGATGATCAGACTCCTTCAAGACAAGAAGATATTCGCCTCTATCGTCGTTGATGTCGATCCTGACGAGGACGCCGAGATCGTCGTGCCATTGTGCTCATGTGCAGGAAAGGCTGCTGAGCATGGAGTAGCCACGCTCAGTATTCCACGAGGATGTTTCTTGAGACGCGTCAAGCTCAGAGTGACGTTGGGTGAGGCGCTTCCTGCTCGGCCTCCTCTGACGCGCGTGAGGAATCCGCAGCTCGTCTTCTTGACAAGGGACTTCAGATCTCTCGGCTCCTTCCCTTCTTGTGCTGCCTTTACTTCTCCTCCTCCCCGGCTGCCCCTCACTGTCTCTCCTCTAGGACGCGGTCTCAACGGCTCACCCAGGTAGCTTCCGTGGCCGTAGCCATCGAGCAGCTGCCGGACGAGGATGGTAGGGATGGAGACTCGGAGGGTGAAAGTAAAGTTCGAGACAGGAAAGCCCAACAGCGACACGTTTGAGTGCCCTGTGACCGTCAGATTGCCTCACTTCTGTTCGCTCGAGCATGTCAACGATTGGGTTTGCCCTGTGAGATCATCTCGCTCCTTCTCCTCTTCCACTCGGGTTGATCCCCCTCCTCCTCCAAGTGACCAGCAACGCTCAGGCTGTCAACAGCTCCGAGCTGGGGTTCGCGTTCCTCGCAGACTGGCAGACATCTGACGTGCATCAGCTAAGGTGACGCTCCTGCTTGTTGGCTGCCCTCATGAGGAGCAGACGAGACCTCGAAGAGCAGCTGCTCGTCATCTTGCAGCAGCGACTGAAACCCCGAGGAAACGCTGCGGAGGGATCGGGGGATATCAGTGAGGCATGGATGGAGGACAAGATTCGCTTTCTTGACGCCATCGGCTCTGACATCAAAGAGGTCCTCTCCTCTCCCTTCCTTCTCCCCCTCCTTCCTTCTGTGCCTGCCATGGCTGCCTGCTGCCTCCCTCACCAACCTTCTGCTCCCCTCCATTCTTCCTTCAGACACAATTCAAAGCTTAAAATACAAGTTCTTATGCTTTGAATTGTGATGTCTGTCTGTCTGTCTGTCTGTCTGTCTGTCTGTCTGTCTGTCTGTCTGTCTGTCTGTCTGTCTGTCTGTCTCTGCTCGCTCGCCTCCCTCCACCTCATCTGCTTGTCTCAGGTGGAGGACATGGATTGCAAGCTCAGATGGATGCAAGAGCTCGTGCAGCTCGAGCTTGACGCCTTCCTGTGAGGGCGAGGGAGAGGAGGGACGGAGGGTCTGACGGGAGAGCAGCGAGGAGATGGAGTGCATGCAGTCGCTAGACTGGCAGATGATAGTCCTCGGGAAGAGCCTCGCCAAGGAAAGAGAGCTCGCGCACCAGCAGAAGCTCCGGATGCTGTCCAAGAATGTCGAGCTGCGAACTCGAGAATCAAGGTGGAAGAGGGAGGAGGAGAAGGAAAGATAACGAGCGAGCAGGATACGAGCGGAGCTGGCGGGGATGTTGAACCATTGTCTTGAGACGTTCGCTGGCTTTTCAAGCTCTTCGCCTCGTCGCATCCTCGAACTTTCCGGTAACTATCACCATCGCCTGGCTCAGGTCGAGCTGCGCGGGCCTGGAATGCTCTTCTTGACGTCCTCAAGTCAAATTCAAGATCGAGTCTTCTACCGGCTGCTCCTTGAGACGCCCCAGGTTGGTCCCTCCTCTCTCTCGCTCCCTCCCTCCCTCCTCTCCCTCCCTCCCTCGCTCGTTCGCTCCCTCGCTCGCTCGCTCCCTCTCTCTCGCTCTCTCGCTCCCTCCCTCCCCGCCTCGCACGCTCGCTCGCACGCTCACTCCATCCCCTGCTCTTTCTTTCCCTCCCTCTTCTTCTTCCCCACTGACATGTTTATTTCTCTATTCCTGCCTGTCTGCCTCGCCTTATTGTCCTAATCGTCAACCTGCTCTCTCTCTCTTCTCTCTCTCTCTCTCTCTCTCTCCCCCCTCCCCCCCCCTCTCTCTCTGCCTCCTCCTGGTAGACCTCGGGTCGCTCCTTCCCGCCCAGACTGATGGAGGAGGAGCTGCTGGGAGGCCTCCTGACGGTTAGCCTGCTTCCTTGTCCTCCTGCCCCTCGACGCGGCAACCTGCTGCTGCTGGACGAGGGGCAACGGCAGCTGCCTCGAGCAGCGACCATCACCCGTGTGTCCTTGAGCCTTGCGGAGAGTGACGTCAGCGACCCGCCGGAGGTGCTGGGAGGAGGAGGAGGAGGATATCGCTGGGAGGGGCTGGATGTGGAGGTAGAGACGTTTGTGAGCGTGCGAGAGAAGGAGCTCTACGGTCACCTGTCGCTCTCTCTCCTTGCAGCTCGAGAGCTTCACATCAAGGACTCTGCCATCCTCCCCTCCTGCTTCTGCCGCGTCACCCTCGACGGGCAACAACGCGAGACCAAGACGGTGAAGGGAAGTCACGACCCGGTGTGGCACGTGAACTTGTTCCTGGAAGTCTCCAAGAGATGCGTGGGGGGGCGAGACAAGCAGCTCCGCGAGCTCTTCGGCTTCCTCCTCCTTGAGTTCTTTCACCGCGACCTGCAGGATGTCTCGCTGCCCCTCGGAAGGCTCAAGCTTCCTCTCGCTGACCTCGTCGACCAGCCCCCCAAGGAGGCTTGGTTCCCGCTCGACGACAGGACGGGCGCACAGGTGCAGCTGCGGGTGTGGCTGCAGAGGCTGGGGACGCGAGGAGGAAGACTGACGGGGATGGAGAGCTTCGGACGAGGAGTTGCCAAGGCCATCATGCTCAACCGCATCACAGGCGGGAGGAGACGAGACGAGTTTACAGCTCCTCCTCCTCTATCACAGCACAAACAGGCGGAGAAAGACTCTCTGCCACAGCATCCTCGTGTCCCTAAACTTCTTCTCTCCTCTCTCCGTACCATACTCGACTCACAGGACTCTCGATCCTCCTCTGCTCGACCCGTCGCCTCGCTTGGCTCTCTCTCCTCCCCTCGCACTCGCTGGCGTCTGCCAGTAGCAAACTCTCTTCACAGCAACCTCGCCTCGCTCGCTGCTGACCAACACGTCACTTTGAAGCTCCAGATGTCTTGCGAGGGATGGAAGCAAACTAGACTTTTCTGTTCAAACCCGTTCCAGGTTATTCCTCCCTCCCTCCCTCCCTCCCTCCCTCCCTCCCTCCCTCCCTCCCCTCC